CACACTATTTAAAGAGGTGGTATGATTGAATTTATCTTTTTTCAGAGGTAAATGTTATGTGATGCATTGTATGTGTTGTGCCATGTGATGGACATTGTCTTGGAATGTACAGGGCAGCAGAGTGCAGTGTCAAATCGAATTATGCCTCTGCCACTAACTAGCCTAGCTGTGTGATCATGGGTACATCATTACCATCTTTGGCACTTGAGTCTCCGCATATATATTGAGAGAGGATCATTTCTTACATTTTCTTCCAGTTCTTAAACTTGGATTCTATGTTAATAACTTAGCTAGTATCCAGTTTCTTTAAAGTATGTGTCTAAAAATTTTTGCTGTGTCTTTCTAAAAATTTAGACCAACCTCCTGTTCATATCATTCAGCTGAGGGCATTTAATTGTTCATACGTGATTAACAGAGAGTGTAATTTCATGACTGTGTACTTTAAATACTTAACCATGATTTCCTTGTAATGACATTAGCTTCACATAGAGATTCAACTATTTTCTAGCTTGCTAGGGCCTTTGGAAAATTCATTTAAAATCTGTTACAATAGATAATATTCAGAAATTTGGTCCATTTAAATAAGTGAATGGAATTATGGGTAAAAAAAGGAAAAAAATTTGGAATGCCTTAGTATTTTACGTAGACCTCTGAGCTTGGTTTCAAAAAGCTGCCATGAAGAGACTTTGTTAAAATTGAATAGTTCTAAAATGAATATTTTCCAAGGTTCTGGCTGAGTAAATTACTACCCAGAGAGGTAATTTAAAAAAAAAAAGTAATTTTATAGAGTAAAAAGTACAGATGTTAATACAGTTTGATGAATTTTGACAAGTGTATGAGATATAATTCACATTACAATCAAGATTTAGAACATTTCCATCATCCTAGTAAAATAACTGGGTGTCATTTTCTAGTTCATCACCCCTGCCACTGTATTTCCCCATTCATCCCTTCTGCCACTGTTCTGATTTCAGTTGCCATAGATTAGTTTGGCTTGCTTTTTTTAAAACTTCATATAAATGGACATAATCTTTTTGTATAAGGCTTCTTTCATCAAACATTGGGATAGTTTTTAGAAATTCATTCATGTTCCTGTATGTAGCAGGAATTTATTTCTTTTTGTTGCCGAGTAGTATTCCATTGTATAAATATACCACAATTTGTTTGTATGTTCTCCTATTGATAGGCATCTGATCCAGATTTTGGCAATTATTGATAAAGTTTCTGTGAACATTCTTGTACAAGTTTTTTTTGTAGACATACTTCTCCATTTGTTTTGATAAATACCCAAAGGTGGAATCTCTGGTTTAACTTTATAAGACAGAGCCAGTGTTCCAAAGTGGTTGTACCATTCTTTGCTCCCATTAGCACTGCTGAGAGTTCCAGTTGCTCTATATCCTTGCCATCATTTAGTGTTGTCAGTCTTTTTAATTTGAGCCATTCTGGTAGGTATAAAGAAGTACCTCATTGTAGTTTAAATTTGCATTTTCTTGATGATTGAATGATGTTGTATACCTTTTTTTTTTTTTAAGATTTTATTGGGGAGTTAGGGGAGGGGAACAGTGTTGGGGAATCGGAACAGACAAGTTGCTGTCCTTTTTGTTCTTCAGCCTAGTTGTGGAGGACGTCGCTTCACTGGCCCATGTTGGTATTATCATTGCTCTCTTCCCGGGTGAGGCAGTTGCTCGACGGCCATTGGACGGCGGCTCAATGAAAGCTCACGCCCGCTGCCAGGCCAGTCCCACTTCAGCCTACACCGTCGCCGGTGACTCATGGCAGCCTAGCTCCAGGTCGAGCTGTTGTTCACTTTAGCTGTAGAGGGCGAAGCGTCACTGGCCCACATGTGGTATCCGAACCGAGGCCTGAGCTGGCGTCCCAAGCCAACTCTTAACCAACGCGCCACTCGTCTGGCCCCTTGTATACCTTTTCATGGGTTTATTGGCCATTCGTACATCTTTTGTAAAGTATCTGTTCAATGTTTTACCCATTTTTTATTTTTAACTTTTTTGTTTTTTTATTGAGTTGTAGAAGTTCCTTGTATTTCAAATATGAGCCCTTTGTAGTGTCTTAGGTTGGGTTCCCCAGAAAACAGACTCAAAGATTTGCTGCAGAAAGTTTGTTGGAGAGTGCTCTTGGGAAGAACAAGGGAGAAAGAATGAGCAGGATTATTCTCATTGGATGGAGAAGTTGAACTTTAATTCAGTTGCAGTAGCAGCATCAGCTCACCTCACAGTAGGCTCTGAAGCTGGATGGATCTTCAGAGAGATCCTAAATTGAAGCAAGGAGATAGGGCTTCATACCTCCCTGCACACAACTCCACACAAGTCAGAGAATATGGACTGGCCTGAGAGGGAATATAACCTTAGGTTAGTCACTTCCCTTTGGCCCAAGGTCAGTTCCTCAGATGGACTTAGCTCTGAGCCATCAGTAAGCAACACTCTCAGCAAACGTTTTAAATTCTGATGTTGAATTTTTTCTCATGGTCTGTGTTTTTGTGTCCTTGCTAAGAAATTTTAACAACCCAAGGGGGAGCTCCTCTCACCTTGCTTGATGGGATGCTTCCTGATTCATGAATTGCTCAATAAAGCCAATTAGATCTTCAAAAAGAAAGAAAGAGAGGAAGGGAAGAGAGAGAGGGAGAAAGAAATTTTGCCAACCCAAGATTGCAAAGATATTCTACATTTTCTAGAAGCTTTTGAGTTTTAGATTTTATATTTAGGTGTATAATCCATCAAAAATTAATTTTTGTGTGTGATGTGAGCTACCACCCAAGTAATTTTTGAGGGCAATCAGCTCTTTCTCTTTTAGGTACATCATCACTTCTCATCTTCCCTTAATTTGCAGAGCAGGGGCACCTTTCATTTCCATTTCCCAGCGTAGCGCATAATCCGAATGCTGACAGGACAATTTTCTAGCAATTTATTCATTAGTTTGAATTGTAGCATTCTGAAACCAGGTCTCTAAATTGAAATGGTATGATCAGTCAGTTCATTTCAGTTTTACCGTTATTTTTGTCCTTCCTTGGGAGTAAAACTTTACATTCATGAAATTTTTTTTTAAAAGGTGACTTATGAATTGATTAGAGAGAATGATGAAAAGATTAATTAATTGCCCTGTTACCTTCTGCACATAAAAGAGCTGTTTCTCCATCTTGTGTTCTCCATGCTCTGACAGTTTGTCTCAAATGAATGCTGGATTAGCAGTGCTTTGGTGAGTTTAATAACTTGGAAAAGATAAAGACTCTTAGAGTAGCTCAGTATTAAATTTTAAAATAGTAATACCAGTTGTTTGATGGCATTTTTCTGAAATGCTTCAATCACTTTCTCCTGTTTCTTCCTGTATCTTAATAAGATATATAGAAATATTCTTGTTTTACAGAAGAAAAGTTGAGGTACTGAGTTGTTAACCAATTTAGATATGGAGCCAGTTCTGTCTCCCAAGCCAGCGCCCCAACCACTGGATGCATTCAGAATACTCTCAGTTTATAAGTAGCTGATAATGGCCATCCTAAATGTCTGAAGGGCTGACCTGGCCTTGGTCTGTGTGCTCGGAATTGCCCACTTGCAGTATGGCAAGTATTAGTTGGTGCTGACATTGCAACTGGAGTTCTCTTATTTTCAGTAGAGACACAATAAGCTATAGATCCCTTCCTTCTTCCCAAACAGAGGGTAATGTTTTAAGCAGCCTTTCAGCTAAAAACCCATTTTTCCATGGAGACCACATATATATCCCCCAGCCTCATAGGCACAAGTTCAGTAGTATATCAGAGGTAGTACATCCACTGTTATTTTTGCTAATCTCATAAAGGAAACTAAATCAGAAAAGTAAAGTACATGATATACCATTAAACTAATGAAACTTTTTCATAAGCAACGTACTAAATTATCCCTTGTAGGTTTTAAGATTTTTTTTTTGTACTGCTAAGACTCCAGGAAGCCATACAGGGTACACCACTGCTTCAAGATGTTTTGAAACATAATCCTTTATATCTTGTATGTCAGGAGGCAGTCTCTCAGAGAAACCTGGTTAAAAAGAAAAAAATAGGATTAAATTGGATTAAAACCATAGATCATTTATGGTATTGATTGTGATGATGGTTTTCCAGATGTATACTTTTGTCCAAACATATCACGTTGTATACATTAAATATATACAGCTTTTTGTGTGTCACTCATACCTCAATAAAGTAGTTTAAAAAAACAATAACCATGGAACATTTTAGTATTGAACTAAACACATTTTTTTATTGTGAGTAATGCATGGTCATTTTATATAAATTATAAATGTTTAATAAATTATGTTACAAATTATATATTCCATATTATGTTTATAAATTATAAAGTAAGAAATTTGTTAATGTTTATTTTACATTTGTTCTACTTACATGTATACTTCTTATTACAAATAAGAGATACCAAAAACCAAAATCATGTTTGCCTCCAGCATTTTCCTCATAGCATTAAGTCATGACTTTCTATACCCATAAATAAACCTATATCATAATTTTTAATCGCTGAGTGTTGTGGTACTGTGTTGAAGAATTATAGTTTAGCCAATGTCTTTTTTTGGACATTTAAGTTCTTTTCAGGTTTGCATTCTTAATAAATACAGTGGTCTTCTTTGTATAGTTCTTTGTTTCTTAGGATGAATTTCTAGAAGTAAAATTGCTAGATCAAAGAATTCGCATTTTTGAAAAGACTTTAAATTGCCAAATTGTGGTCCAGATAGGTTGTAGCAGTGTCAGATTTCTCCCTATCATGGATTAGCAGACAAGTTTTCCCACATCATTGCAATCTGCTAAATTTAAAAATGGCATCTCCTTGTTTTAATTAGTATTAATTATTCATGAAGCTGACCCTTTTTCATGTTCACTGGCCATTGTAGATTTGATTTGGTCTCACAAATGAGCGGGCTCAAAGTCGTGATTATATTGTAGATACTTGAGAAACTTTTTCTCATTCATTCGTCAGTCTTTTCAACAGTTTATATTTTCTTTCCAGGAGCGACTAAAGCTGGTAACAGTTTTGGGAGCCGGCCTTCTCTGTGGAACTGCACTGGCGGTCATCGTGCCTGAAGGAGTACACGCACTTTATGAAGATATTCTTGAGGGTGAGAGAGAGAAGGGCCTTCTTTCAGATATGTTATTGACACGGAGAGTTGAAAGAAGAAGCTTAATGGTATTTTTTCTGAACTCAGTTTCTACACTGAGAAGAGTCCTTAAAACATATCTTTCGACATCTTTGACATTGAACACATCCTTAGCAGTTTGTGATTTGAAAGCCCCAATGCATGAATACCACTTAAGATTTATTTGCAATAATACATGAATTCCAGTCTTTCAAAGTATGACAGTCCTTTTTTAATGCCCACTCAAAAACTTCCCAAATTCTACATGATGGTGATTGTATTTTTAGTGTTCTTTAATGGAAAAAATATATAGATATACTTGTTTGGATTTAAGGACTCTTTATAGTAACCTTTGTAGATAATTAGTGAGGACCCCTGCAGTAAAGGATAACTAAAAAACTAAAGAGGGCTCTCCTGACCCTAATAACAAGAAGAGAACAGTATTGTGGTATATGAGTAAATGTTGATTGGTCAGCTTGGTTCACTTCCTTGCTAAATAATTTGGTCCTTCACACCAGCTTACACACATATTTGATTCAAATTTGTGACTCAGCAAAATCAGATTACTACTTGTCATGAAACTTCACAGATACTTGTGAAGGATTGAAACCACAGCTGTTAAATTGGTGAGCTGAATCTTCAAGTGCCAAGAGTCTACTGGACTTTAAGAATAGTAGAAAGAGGTATGGCCTTCTGAATTTCTTACTGGATACAATATAATAAATAATTTTTCAGATCTCAGTTGAGGAAGAAACCTGTGTTCTTTATCCAGAGTGATGATGCTCTTATGCCTGGGGTATGAATACGGGCACAATTGTAAAGAGTGAGGATTGGGGGTCTTAATGCAAAATAGGACAGAGGCTGAGGATTGGTCAGCTGTAAGGGGGGGAAATAATCAGGAGCCTTAGAGCACTGGTTTCTATCTTTTTTTATCATACATCCTATTGGGGTAAAAGATATACATGTACTGTTTTACTGGTTTACTCTGCACATTATAAAACAGCCTAAAATAGAAAATTTTGAACTATGTGATTTAAAGTAAAAGTGTATCGATCAGTATTTTCTGTCTTATCCCAGTGGATCATCTTGAATTTTTCTGAGTGTGACTATTCTACTGTAGAGAGATCATTATCCTAGTATACTAGAAAACATTCAGACCATGACTAAATAGACAATCACATTTTTTTTCTTGTCTTTGTAGTTAAGAAAGAATTATGGGGCTGGCCAAGTGGCTCAGTTGGTTAAGAGTTAGCTTAAGAATTATGGGTGACAGTTGTTTTCTAAACTTGTCTGATAATAAAAGTTACTTGAGGGTGGGGTACATTTTAAAAATATAATTTCCTGGGCTAGCTGAGTGGCGCGTTGGTTAAGAGCTGAGTTGGGACGCCAGAGGGCCCCAGTTCGGATCCCACATATGAGGGCCAGTGACGCTGCCCTCTACAGCTAAAATGCTGAAAAACAGCTAAACCTGGAGCTGGGCTGCCGTGAGTTGCAGGTGACGGTGTAGGCTGCAGCCCCTGCTGCAGTGGGTTGCCATGGGCTACTGTGTGTAGCCAGCAGCTGCCGTGAGCAGCCGTCCAGAAGCCAGCGACTAATCTGCCTCGCCCGGGAGGAGCTCAACGATGGTGCCAACTTGGGCCAGTGAAGCAACGTCCTCCACAACTAGACTGAAGAACAAAAGGACAGCAGCTTGGCTGATCCCCTTACCCCAATTCCCCANGCGCTGTTCCCATCCCCCAATTCCCCAATTAAAAAAAAAAACATATATATACATATATATATATACACATACATATATATATATATTATACATATTACATACATATATATATATGTATGTGTATATATATATATATATTTTTTTTTTTTTTTATAAAGATATATATAATTTCCTGGCTCCCAACCTAGATTCCAGAATCAGAATCTCCAGGGAAAAGGCCTGGGGATATAGTTTTAACAAATTGCCAAATGATTCATATTAGACAAGTTTGGGGAATACTGGGGTATAGGAAAAAAGTATAGTTTTTTGTGTGTTTGTTTTTTAATAACAGTTTCATTGAGATATAATTCACATACCATATTTTTAGATATAGTTTTAAGCTTAAATTTAGCTACTGTGTGTTGGGTTGCATTTCTTTGTTTTCAGTTTTTCTGGGTTTTGACCCAAAATACTTTTGTGGATTCATTTGAAAATAAATAGAATGTGCTTTATAAACTTGCTTCTCCAAAAATAAGCATTCTGGTGTCTTTAACTTTTTATCATAGATTAATCTACAGCCCTGACATCATTTAAAATTTATTATTTTCATTTATATATTTTACATTCATTCTTTTTGGTGTACACCTCTATGAGTTTTGACAAACTCAGTGTAGAGTTATGTTATCGCCACTGCAGTCAAAATGCAGAACAGTTCCATCACACAGAAAATACTACTTTATAATAAAAATAAATAAAAATAAATACAAATAAATAATAAAAGAAAATTCTACCTCACACTGCCCTTTTGTAGTCAAGCCTTTCCTCTACCCTCAACCTTTTCTCTGTCTCTATAGTTTTGTCTTTTCGGAATGTCATAAATGGAGTCTTGCAGCCTTTGGGTTTGGCTTCTTTAACTTAGCATAATACACTTGAGAGTCATCATATTGTTCTGTGTATCAATAGTTTGTACCTTTTTATTTCTGAGTAGTATTCCATTGTTTGGATAAACCATAGTTTGTTTATACCTTTATCAGTCAAAAGACATATGGGTTGTTTCCAGTTTCGGTGATTATAAATAAAGTCACTATAAACATTTGTGCACAGATTTTTGTGTGAACATGAGTTTTTATTTCTCTTGTGTAAATACTTATAAGTAGAATTGCTGTGTCATATGGTACGTGTGTGTGTTTACCTTCATAAGAAATTGCCAAACTCGTTTCCAAAGTGGCTGTTACATTTTGCATTCCCATCAGTAATGTATGAGAGTTCCATTTGGTTCCCTTCCTTGCCAGCAGTTGGTGGTGCCTGTTTTTAGTTTTTTATTTTAGTCATTCTAATAGATGGTTAGTGGTATCTTGAGGTGGTTTTAATCTGCAATTTCCCAGTGGGTAATGATGTTGAACATCTTTTCCTGTGATTGATTGCCATTGTTATAGCTTCTTTGATAATATCAAATATTTTCCCCAATTTTTAACTGAATCTTCTTATTGAGTTTGGAGAATTCTTCATATATTCTGGATATAAGTCCTTTATCAGATGTGTGATCTGCCAGTATTTTCTCCTAGTCTGTGGCTTATCTTTTCATTCTTTTGATAGCAACTTTCACAGAGTAGTTTTTAATATTGATGTAGTCCAATTTATCAGTTCTTTATTTCATGAATTGTGCTTTTGGTATCATATCTAAAAACCTCTGCTGAAACCAAGTTCACAGAAATTTTTGTCTTGTTTTCCTCTAAAAGTTTTATAATTTTAGATTTTACATTTCGGTCTATGATCCATTTGGGAATAATTTTGAATACAGAGTGAAGGTTCATTTTTTGCATATGGATAGATGTCCAATAGTTCCAACACCATTTGTTGAAAAGACTATCCTTTTTCTGTTTGTCTTTCCACCTTTGTTAAAAATCAGTTGACTATATTTGTGTTGGTCTATTTCTGGATTCTTATTTTGTTCCATTTATCTGCATGTCTATCCTTTGCCAATACTACCTTGTCTTGAAGACTGTAGCTTTGTAGCAAATCTTGAAATCAGATAGTGGAGTCCTTCTAACTTTGTTTGTATTTTTCAAAGTTGCTTTGGTTAAACTATTTCCTTTGCCTGTCTATAAAATTTTGAAATGAGCTTGTCAATATCTACAAAAAATTATGCTGGTATTCTGAATGAGATTGAATTGAATCTGTAGATTAATTTGGGGAAAACTGACATCCTAAGAATATTGTGGTTTTCCAATCCATGAACAGAATATATCTCCATTTATTTAGGTCTTTGATTTCTTTCATCAGTGTTGTAGTTTTTAGTGTACAGATCTACAGATATTTCATTAGATTTACACCTAAATATTTCATGGTTTTTGTGCAACTGTAAATGACGCTTTATTTATTTATTTTTTAAGATTTTATTGGAGAATTGGGGAAGGGGAACAGACAAATGGCTGTCCTTTTGTTCTTCAGTCTAGTTGTGGAGGATGTCGCTTCACTGGCCCATGTTGGTATTATCATTGCGCTCTTCCTGGCTGAGGCAAATGGGTCGCAGGCCACTGGACAGCGGCTCATGGCAGCTCTTGGCAGCTCACGCTGGCTGCTGGCCACTCACGGTAGCTTATGGCAGCCCACTGCAGCTCTGCTGCAGCCTACTCCCTCGCAGGCGACTCAAGGCAGCCCAGCTCCAGGTCGAGGTTTGTTCACCTTCTTAGCTGTAGAGGGCGCAGCGTCACTGAGCTCCAAACCGGGTCCCTGCTGCTCAGAGCTGGCATCCAAAGCCAGCTCTTAATCAACATGCCACTTGGCCAGCCAGCCCAATGACACTTTTAAAAAATTTAATTTTCAGTATTTTAGTATTCAGAAATTTGCTAAACTCACTTATTAATTATAGGAGCTTTTTTATAGATTGTTTGGGATTTGCTACATAGTCATATCACCTATACATAGACACAGTTTAATGTTTTCCTTTCTAATATGCTTTTCCCCCCTTTCCTTATTACACTGACTACACCATCTAGTATGAGTTTAATTAGGAATGAAAGTGAACAGTCTTGCCTTGTTCTCATTCAGTCTTTTGCCATTAAGTATGATGTTAGATGTAGGGTTTTTTTTATAGATTCCCTTTTCAGGTTAAGGAAGTTTTCTTCTGTTCCTAGTTTTCTGAGAGTTTTAATCTTGAATGGATGTTATCAAATGCTTTTTTTAGTCTGGTACTATTGTGAATTACAGTGATTTTCAAATGTTGGACTAGACTTTCATATACTACCCTCCCTAGCTCACCCCCTGGCTGTTATGTATTATA